CACTATGGCCTTTTAAAAATTCCTGGACACATGTTCTAAGCAAAATTTCCCCCTGATAAGATATAGCTTTTTATATTTTTAACATTTTATTCAAGAAAAGCCTCACTCTCCCTATGACCTCCGCTACTACCCCTTTCTATAAACATCTTAAGGTTGAATTCAAAGACTGGAGGGGAATTTGAGGTGAGAAAAATGTGAAATAAAAGTGGATATAAAGAGAAGAATATGACTTTTCTGAAATTAGTTTATGTGTGTGACTGTGTGTGAGTGTGAGTGTATGTGTAATTACCACTCAAAAGTAATTAGCTCCTTTTCTCATTTGGATAATTACAATCTTCCTATCAAGATAACTAGGTGCATAAAATTAAACAAGCCAAGTTCATTAGCCACACTGCAAAAATCATGACAAGTTACATGGAAGATTTAGTAGTAGTGAGATTTCTAAAAAAATATTAGGAACTCTGTGAAAACTAAGCATATTGTAACAATTCAGGACTTACACGAATTCAAGTCCACTGCTTGTTATAGGGTACTAATTGCTTGGCTAGCCATGTGCTCAGTCTTATGGAAGACATAAAATAAATTTAAAAGACTAGTTCCTTCACTAGAGATATTGTTAGATTTTGTTAGATTTAGCAAAGCCCTATTCTTTACTGGTATATTTCTTTTGAGAAAGAGAGAAGAGCAGAAATACAACTACCTATAATGATGAGAGTAGTCTTTTCAGTTTTAATAGATTACTTGGAAAAACTAATAATCAAAAATTAAACTTTATTATTAAATATAAATAAATGTGCAACATATACCGAGAAAATTGCACAATTTCTTAGTGTATAGATAGCTCTATGAATATTCACAAAGTGGACATGCCTGTATAATCATTACCCAATAAAGAAATAGAACATTGCCAGAATCATAAGAGCCTTTCCTGTGTCCCTCTCAGACACTACACCCTTCCCCTCAAGGTCACCTTTACCCTGCTTTCTATGCCATTAATAAATTTTCTCTGTTTTTGAACTTTATATTAACAAAAACATACAGTATGTCCTCTTTATGCTGGCTTCTTTCTCTTATGATTAGATGGGTGAGAACCATTTATGTCTTTTTTTAAAATAGCAATTCATTCTTACTGGTGTGAAACATCCCATTGTATGAGTAAACTGTAATTTATTGACCCATTGGTTTACTTCTAGTTTTGGGCTGTTACAAAATAGTGCTACTATGCTCATTCTTGCATGTGTCTTTCAGTACACATTATAAAGCATTTCTGTTGGGTGTGGGAGGGCTGAGTCATAGGTCTAGATTTAGTCTTTCAAGATATTGCTAAATAGTTTTCCAATGATTACCAATATACACTCCAACAGGCAGTGAATGAATATTTCAGGAGCTGCATATTTTTGTTAACACTTTGTTTTTGTTAAAGATATTTGTTTGGGTGTTTGGTCGTTGTAGTTGTATTTTATTTCCTTGATGACCAGTGAGATTTGAGCATCCTTTCACATGTTGATTTCCCATTTGGAAATCCCTTTTGCAAAATGTCTATTGAAATCATTTGCCAACTTTTATATACAATTGTCTTTTTCATTGATTTGTAAAAGTATTGTCTTGTTATGTTACTCCACTTAACCACTATAGAATGATAGTCTTATCTACCCAACTCCAACCCATCACTACTTGTTGGGAAGCTTTTATTGTCAGGGCCCTTCAGTGTACATGTTTGTGAGTTGCCAAATCCTAATTAAAATATCTCTATATCAAAACACTAAAATCTCATAAAAACTCCATAGGTCATTGAACGTGGCTAAGAAGAGTAATTTTTCTCTTACATCGAGGCAAAGGTGAAAACTCAGTATATGTTAGCCAAAAAGAGTATTTGCAGAAATTTTATTTTATTTTTTTGAAGGAATTTTAAAGCATAAATAATGTGTGTCTTCTCAGTTTAACATCTCCCTTTTAATGACGAGAGAACTGAAATGAAATTAATAGCTTTCTTTTGTGATTTAAATGTTTAAATATTTTATTTAACACCGGGAATATTTGGGATCTCTTAGTATCAGTGTCCATGCAAGCCCACAAGGAAACAGAATAGAATATTTTATGAAACAGTTGAACCTTACATCCAGAAGGCACCTGTGAGATCATGCACTGGTCTTCTCTGAGCCTGGAGAGTTGGCGTTGGGGTGAATGGGAATGATAAGATGGTTGGGGAAAGGCTCTGAGACTAATCACAACAGCCAGGCTTTCATCTCTTGTCCTCATGGACTTCTGAGAAAGAGTTTCTTTAAACATAGACTGAAGCTGCTCTTTGTGTGTCTATTTAAACCCTTCATGTATAGAAGAAGGGGCGGGATTCAGCAAGATTAACTGGTTTGGCCCAGATCACACACTTTGGCAATGGCAGACTCAGGACTGAAATCCAAGTTCTTCACGGTGCTCATAGGCCCTGGTGTTTGTGTCAGCTGGAGGAATATCCTCATGATTCAATTATGTTCTTTCCTTCCCACTTCCTCGCTCTGAGAAATATATTAACCTGAGTTAGACAATCAGAGGGGGGTTCCTGCATCAGGAAAGGGATGTCACTCTACTTGCTTTCCACTGTTGCACATGGCTCAGAGGATCTCAGCTCACCTGATATTAATGGTTATGAATTCATAGAGTATCTTCTTTCCAACTCATCTGATGGTCCTCTGACTAATTTGATTCATAACTTTATGTGTAATTAAATCAAACAGAGCCACTGCTTGCTGTTCCCAAACTGTGTGCATCCTTCTTTCCTTGTGTTTGCCTGAGCTATTTCTCTCACTTGCCTGCTTCTCCATTTCTTTGAAGTTAGCCAATCTGACCCACTCAGGACTGATATTCAATACACTACGGGTGTGCTGGCCAGCATCTAGTTCTAACTGGTTCATGCTTGTGCCAAACCAGCTATTCAAAATTTCTCAATTACCCCTGCACCCACCAGATGTAGCTCGGTCTCTTGAGAATTCTTTTCTCGGTCCCTTTCTCAGCCCTTAGTGATCTCATCTTCATTTGAACTCATGGCTCTCACTTATTTTACAAAGCTCACAAACTTTCTCATAATATCTGGCATACAATTCTTTGCATTTTATTGAAAAAAAAATGACTTATGCTTTTGCTTTTTCTTCCAAAAGAGATGATAATCCCCTTGTACAACTCAGATACCACATATGCACTTATTAATTGATCAATGAACCAGGAGGGACTGTCTGCTGGGGACTTAGTGGAGAGGGACCCTATCTGCCGGTATTATGTGTCAGTGTGCTTATCTTTAGGCAAGTCCATCTTCCAGGGCCTTCTTCCACCCCAGCTCTGTTTCAGAGTCGTCCCTATCACCTCAGGTTTGTGGGGGTACTACCATGCCAGTACCCCTTAGGATGCTTGACTACTTTTCTGCATTGGAAGGACAGTGGGGTATCTTGTTTGCCAGCCAATTCAATGCAGGCTGACACCCCAGGCACTCTGAATTAAGGTGGAGGAGCCAACAGCTTTAGAGAAGAGTCCATTTTTATGGGGATTAAAACAAGAAAATGATCATTCACAAAACATCGTTTTTTATCTTCTTCTTATATTTAAATTGAAATAAGACAATAAGCTAGATCGGAAGATGAGTTCTGATTGTTAATTGCTAAAGGTGGTGAAGTATTTTAATTTGTTGAACTAGGCAGATGAGGTACATTTTTTATGGTCTTGCCCATTGTGTAATGCTAACAATTATAGAATTAATCATTTTCAGATGTTCCACATTTGTTATTTTAAAGATGTAACTAGAGAGTTTCCTCTTCTAAGAGCAAGTGGCTATAGTCATGACTTTCATAGGGCAAAGCTGGCTTAAAGATATACTCAAATAATCCCCAAATTTTAAAATAGGTCTTTACTACTTCACCACAGTATTATGGTCTAGTCAGCTAACTGAACAATTACAGCTAGACTTTTATTTTTATATGTCTATTATTTATTTATTTATTTACCTTTATTTTTTTGTCACCATTTATGCCCCCTATACCCTCTTCCACCTCCACCCACCTGTCTCCCTGCCACCATCACCAAATAGGCTTTTAGAATAAGAGGCTCCATGGAGCTTTGTATACATTTAATATTCCATTTCTATTTATTTATACCTGTGTGAGCACACAGTAGTATGCATTGGTATAACTAACATCTTGGCTATTTCTAAAAAATGCAGGTAGCTAGGCCCAACTCTAGACTTTTACGTATTTTTAACACCCATCCTCCTTCTGTCCCCCTGGCAATTCTATTAGTCATCCAGGGTTGAGGACCACTGCTATAAAGTATAGTTTCGCTTTGAAGGCACTTGGAGTCTAATTGGGAATATAGGACTTCTGTTTATATCTATCACTCTGTCTTTTTAGCTCCTTTCACAGAAGCATATGATGAATTTCAAGTGAGAAGCATGGACAACATAACTACCATTCTTAAGGGAGGAACAAATTAGCAAAATAAAACTAAGGAACTAAGGAAATCAGATTTGAACTTATGCTTTAAGGATGATTAGAGGGTAAACATAGACGTAAGAACATAGATGAGTAGAAGATTATCATGAACCTAAGCTCCTGTGTAAGCTCAAGACAAGAGTATGTAAGGTATGTGCCAGGTATTAAGTGGATATTAGTTGGAAAATAGAAATCAGATAGCCCTGCACAGGGACTTTGGTCCAAAGATCTGGATTTGAGTTCTGTGCATGTCACTAAATAAGTATATCTCACTTCTCCAAGCTCCAGTTTCCATATCTGCCCAAAGTTTCTATTAGGTTGTTTGGAACCAGTAAAGTAATAGCACTTAATAAACCACATCGCCCAACTCAATGCTAACTATTATTATTGTCTTTGGAGGGAAAGGCATTGAAGATTCAAGGGCAGAGGAGTGATACATAAAAAGGGTTAATTATTCTATTTCTTCATGAGTGAGTGAAAGAAATAGCTAAAAATGAATAATAACTAAATTCATGTAATTGTGTTTAGGCACTTGGAGCCCAGCCTTCAAAAAGATCAGCCGCACTGTCCACCATGGCTGATGCTGAGGCTATGCCTGGTACGTGAGTATCCCCACTTACCTTACAACTCAGTGCACAATGCATGACCTCCAACAGCCTTTAAGGACACTTTTAATTAATTATTAATTCCCAGAGCACTAAATTTATTGGTACACCTTGTAAAAATTAAGTTCATCCCCTTTATTTAAATATAACCAACTTTTGAGAGATTGACAGCAACTTTTAACTTAGTGTGCTGTCCGATACGGTATCCACTAGCCACATATGACTCTTCAGTGCTTGAAATGTGGCTAGTGAAACTAAGGAACTGAATATTTAATTTTTTATTATTTTTAAAAAATGTTTTTATTGATTCTTAGAGTAAGGAAGAGAGAGAGAGAGAGAGAGAGAGAGAGAGAGAGAAAGAGAAACATTGATGTGAGAGTACAACATCCGTTGGCTGTCTCCTGCACATATCCTACCAGGTTTCGAGTCCACAGTCCAGACATGTGCCTGGACCAGGAATGAATTTGCAACCTCTTGGTGCATGGGACACGATGCCCAACCAACTGAACCACACAGACCAGGGATTAATATTTAATTTTAGTTCATTTTAATTTCAATATAAAAACAGATAATTCAGTTATTAGAAAACTTTAAAGCATGTTTGCAGCACCATGGGTATATGAATCTACTTTTTCTTTTTTTTTTAAAAAAAATTTTTTTAAAAAAATATATTTTATTCATTTTTTACAGAGAGGAAGGGAGAGAGATAGAGAGTTAGAAACATCGATGAGAGAGAAACATCGATCAGCTGCCTCCTGCACATCTCCCACTGCGGATGTGCCTGCAACCCAGGTACATGCCCTTGACCGGAATCGAACCCGGGACCCTTCAGTCCCCAGGCCGACGCTCTATCCACTGAGCCAAACCGGTTTCGGCATAAATCTACTTTTTCAAGTGCATATTTTATCTGTCCCAAATAGATCCCAGGAAAGGATCTGGGGTGTTTATCTAAGGCGTCCCTTGAGATAAACTTTAACCGTGCAGGCGTGGGACATTCAAGTAGTTGTTAGCAAAGAGGCTGCTCTCACGCAAGCAGGACCAGAGTGACAGGCTTTAGGACCAACAAAGACCAGAGGCTTTAATTTAAATTTTAAGCGTACGCAAATAAATTCAATTAACTGCCGGAGGAATTACACCACATGAAACATATGCAGTTGCAAATCACACAGCTTTTTTATTACTCACATAAATTTCTGAGCTGCGGGTACAAACTTAGTTAGGGATCCCTGTGGTGCTGTCCTCTGGGGTCCGGCAGCTGGGCTGGTCTTGTCCGGGCGCAGGGGGCTGGCGTTCCTCACTTGATAGTTCGGTCGTGTCTCGATCCATCGGGGGTTTTTAGCTGCTTCTGTCGTTTGGCAGGGAGAGGAGCGTGGTGCCCTGTCGTTGTCAGACCGACAAAGGGACGGGCCTTTGTAGCTGTCTTGACAGGCGAGCATCGTTAGCTGCCCGGGGTCCATATTTAAAGCTTGTTCATACCTGTAGCAGCTCAGGTGGCTATCAGTGATTTACGTCAATGCAAATATGTTAATCTCAAACAGGGCGAGGGGGCTAAGGAGAGAATGTCACTCAAGCAAGTGTTTATCTTTGCAAGTCACTCTGCATCAGTTCAAATCCTTATCTCTGGGGTACACACGCTTCAAGGCAGTGCGGAATGTGTCTTTAATATTACACTTTAAGTTTTAAGGAAAGTTAACTCAAACATTTTAAAACTTTTCTAACATTCTTTAAGCATTTTAAACATTTCTATATTTTACTACAACATTATCCACTCTTAATACAGATCAAGTATTTCAGATAAAAATTTAACAACTAAATTGAGATGAATGTCAGTGCAAAATACATATAGAATTTTGAAGACAGAACAAAAAAAGTAAAATATCTCATTAAATTTTAATATTGATTAATGTTGAAATGATATTTGGATATATTTTATTTAAATAAAATATTCTATAACAATTAATTATTATATGTTATTAAATTAATTCCACCTCTTTTCACTTTTAAAATTTAACTACTAGAAAATTTTAAATTATATATGTAGCTCACAATATATTTCTTTCAGAGCTGATCTAGATTTGGCCACACTATAAGTAATCTTAAATTTGGGCTTAGGTAGCATGATTGAGAAACATTTACTGCTGTATACAGAGCTAGGATTATTAAGATTTTCTGTTTTGCTATCTCCTCTTGGCTCTTGTGATCCCAGGCAATACGTAATACTGGCAGTTGTTCAATAGAATGCCTCATGGATTCTTTCAACTCTCTTTCTATTTGGATAGTACAGCACATTTCAAGATGGAAAGAGCATAAAGAGAGGAAGATCCAGGAATGGAGAATCTTCTCTAGTTCATTTTGCCTTTGGGTCATGCCTATAATTACTTAAATTATATTTAAAGTCTTGATACTATGAGCTTGTAATCCTCCCACTTCTCCTTAGCAACCTAGCCTAGTCTGAGAAATATTTTGGAGGAGCACAGGATAAAATCTCCGTGAGGTATGTAGGAAACCTATTAATCATTTATTGTTGCAAAGAGGATAGAACACTTTGCTAAAAAAGGACTTAGGTGGGATGTGAGGAAAAGTGTGTCTATAAGAGACAACTCATCTCCTCTATGAGCCTCTCCCCTCATCTAACCCTTCCCTTCATCAGAACGTGCTTTTAGGATATCTTTCTGCACATGCACAAATATTCACTTGTTTGGTATGCGTTTGCTATTTTTAGCCAAGGAACGTTTACCTACAAAATAACACTTAGGAAGAGCTCAAATAAATAAAACCAATAAGGTTGCATTAAAAGAAGGAAGAGCCATCAAGGAACATGAATTCGGTGAAGCACAATTTTGAAACCATTGCCTTAGTCTGGATTTGATTCACTATGTTATTTCTCTTGGGATATTTGTGTTTCAAATCTTATCTCTAAGAATACAATATAAAGTTTAGAGGGAAGTTTTTACACTAGGGAACTGGCAGTAGGGGGTGTTAGTGATTTATGTTGGCCTCTGTCACAGCACAGATCTTACTGAATGTCATGGCATTTGTTTATAGTTTTTTTCTGGCACAAGTCTCCAAGTACCTGGAATACAAGGATACTGAGTGGCTTATTTCTTTCAGTACATTTAGCACCAAAACAGTATCTGGGGCTTAATAGGTACTTAATGACTGTATGCTGACTGAGTGTTGTTGAGAGGGAAGTAGGGCTTTACTAACACCTATGAAATCAAACAGGCAGTCAGGCACCTTCTCTGGATTATATAGGCAAGGATGCCCTTAGCTATATGGCCCATACATCTTTGTTCAGCATATCCTCTTAGTAATTTTTATGAAGTCTCTGAAGAATGTAATCTGGTTGTAGGAAGGATGGAAACACTCTGAATAAGGCCAGTTATTTTTGTTATGGTTATAAAAAACATGTTTTTTAGTCCATAGGTCTTTTGAATGCAAAAAGACTTATTCAGTGATTATAGCAAGATATAGCCAATGGTTCATTCCATTGTCTTAGTTTCCATGATTACATCTGGTGTCCTCATGTCTTCACTTCAGAGTTTAACTGGAACAATTATATAGAACCTTCTAAAGCAAGGCTTGGGGAATGTCTGGCCTGCGAAATCATTTGGTCTGACCCTGCAATTAGGGGTGAGTTAATTAAATGTTTGACCAAATATAGCAGGCTAAATTTTAAGTTGATAATTTTGTATGGATCTTGAATCTATAATAATAAAAGGGTAATGTGCTAATTAGACCAGACAGCCGAATGACCTTCCGGACATCATTCCAGACGTCCTTCTGGACAAAGCTGCCACAGCGGGGGCCGAGAGAGGTGGTTAGGGGTGATCAGGCAGGCAAGTCGAGCAGTTAGGGGCGATCAGGCAGGCAGGCAGAGTGGTTAGGGGCATCAGACAGGCAGGTAGAGTAGTTAGAGGCGATCAGGAAGGCAGGCAGGAGTGGTTAGGGGTGATCAGGCAGGCAGGCAGGAGTGGTTAGGAGCCAGTGGTCCCGGATTGTGAGAGGGATGTCCGACTGCCAGTTGCAGGATTGGGCCTAAACCGGCAGTCAGATATCCCCTGAGGGATCCCGAATTGCTAGAGGGTGCAGGCCAGGCTGAGGGATACATCCCCCCCTCCCATGCATGAATTTCGTGCACCAGGCCTCTAGTTATGTTATAAATATCTAAATGGCTCTTGGCAGAAAAAAAGGTTCCCCACTCCTGTTCTAAAACATTATGAGAAAGATGAAATTTTATGAACAATCAATCATAGTAGCATTAAATTGATGATATATGAGTTTTTTTAAAAAAATATATAAAATAATGTAGGAAAATGTTTTAGGCTAGTGAAATAATTTGGCAGTAGAGATTCATTTTCTTTCCCCGTGGAAATGCTAGTATTTGCAGTCATGTTTTAGACAATTTGACTATTTCAACTTCTTCATGAACTTTATTATAAAATATTTGTTATTGCTTATAACAATTTTTTATTCCTATATGGGGATATGGTAACTTGAAGAACCCAAAGTGTGAAGATATTTTATTATTTACGAACCTATTATTAATTAGTTTTAATAAAAAGGGCTATAATAAGATAAGATTCATTCATACTAATTTAGAAAGTTGAAATTTATTTTTGTGGTGTTGAAAAAAATGAGGATTGACTGATAAAATTAATCACATAAGTAGCCCAATGATAGTAATACAACAATAAATATGGTAATAATAATTGTTCACATTTATTGAAAGCTTATTATGTGCTTGGTGCTGTGCTAACTGCTCTGTAACCCAGCCCAATTTTATATTCATAACAAGTCTGTGAGATATATTATTATTATTATCCTCATTTTACAAATGAGAGAGTGAAGGCTTAAGACAACAAAATAAGGCTCATGAGCAAATTAGAATTCAAGACCAAAGTAGTGTGACTCAGGGAATAAGAGTTCTTAAAACTCATTCTGTCTGCTATGGATATGTATTTGCAAATAAAGCCTTAATTATATTTTTTAACAGAGAAGGAGACAACCTCTTCTTAATAATTAAAGTTATAATGTGCACTTGAATGTATAAAAGCTGCATGCTTATATGCTTACCCCATTCTGAACAAAGAAACAAAGATTATTAACTGGATGGATTCTTAATGTCAAAATTGTTTACTTTCTTGTGATTTTAGATTTATTGGTTGAATATACACATGTGCTTGGAAATTATAAAAATAAAGAACAGACTCTGGCTTTGTCTTTTCCAAGGCATTGAAATATGAATTATTTTGCACTACCTTGAGAATTTAACTCTTTGGTTCAGACTGATTTTTAGTTATAGGAGAAAATCAGAACAGGTGCTGCAGCACATTAAATGACAATGAGGGCTCAGGACTGCTGACTTGGAGTCAAGGTGTCAACACACCTTCAGTGGATCCATCTCAGGATCCAGGTAAAATTGCTCTCTTTTGGTGCCTGCCATTTTTTGTCCCTTTAATACAATCACAGGCCTTGTTTTGTTCAGGAACCTCAAGACCTGACTGTGTGGGTTCACTGTGGCAGCACCTAGATGAGTTGGAATTTACTTACTGGCTCCAAGAAGACCATTCGCGTTGGCAGAATGTACACAAGTTCCTCCACAGTTCACAGGCAACAAGTGACTTTTGAGGATGGGGAAAATTAGACACACTAGTCAGCAAGAGCCCAGATAGACAGCAAAGGCTACCTTGGGACTTTAACTCCTCTGTCAAAGTCTAAGTTTTAGATATGAAGGGGAAAATGAGAATGGCTCTATCAGCACATTAAATTACAAGGGTGCAGGATTGCTGGCTTGAAATGAAAATGTCGTAGCCCATTCAAGCTGTTATAAAAATATATAATAGGGTGGTTTATAAACAGGAGAAACTTATTTCCCACAGTTCTGGAGACTTGGGAGTCCAATCATGATGCCAACCATTCGATGTCTGGTGAGGACCTGCTTTCTCATTGACGGACATCTTCTCACTCTCAGCTCACATTAGTGGAAGGAACTACCTACCTCTCTGGGGTCTCTTTTCTAAGGGCACTAATCCCAATCACAAAAGCTCTACCCTCATGGCATAATCACCCGCCCGAAAGGCTCCACCACCTAATATCATTACATTAAGCATTAGGTTTCAATATATAAATTTTGGGGAAAGGACATATATATTGCTTGTAGTGTAAAGTGTTGGTGAAATACAAGTACTCAACTAGTGTAACCAACCCAATGCAAGAGGATTCTCCAGTCCTTACAGGGAGACCATTGCATCACGTTAAGATGCAGATGTGTAGAAAAAGCAAATTCAGGAAACCAGCATGGCTGTGCAGCTTTAGAAGACTCTTGGGCCCTCTGCATCTTAGAGCTTTGCTGTAAATGAAGGCTAGATCATCTCTAAGGTCTTGTCTGGAATGAAAACGGGATGGTTTTTATAAATCTACATTTCCACCAAAACCCAGTGACAATCATTTCATATATTAATAAATTATATTGACTGTTGTGTGTCTGATACAGGCAATAATGTAATTCTAAGTGATTATAAGAGCCGGTTAGTCAAAAAAGAGGAAGTAAGGAAGGACAAGTTGTGGAGTCACAACTTGAAAAGTTTATTGTCTTTTCTTCAGGAAGTTAGGGGTCTGGTTAGGAATTCAGTCTGGCATTTTGTAATAGCAGCCCAAATAGACTAAGACAGTATCTCATTATGGTTTTGATTTGCTTGAAGATGGAAGTTTAATTGCTTGAAATTTGAGCGGGTGAAAAGAAGAGAGAGAAAAAATCTTAATCCTAAGAGTACTAAAGGAGGTAGAGTTTTAGAAATGGAGAGCACACTGACCAGACTTAAAGCTAATTTAAATGGGTCATGTGACTTAATTTTACTGAGTCCAGGTTAAGAGGAGAAAGCCAAGAAACACTTTCAAATGTCACAATTGGCAGATGATAAAGAAAATGTAAGGCAGAAATCGAATAAATGAGAATGATGTATTCTATGTAGGTGCTATAAAATTCCATACATAGTCCTAGAGGAAAAGAATAAATTAAGAATCTAAGGCACTTATAAATGAGATAAGAGTTATTATAATATTATTCATTTGTAGGTGTGTATATTTTTATTTTAATTCTATTCCTATTTAACAAACCTATTGAGTTTTATGTTGCAGTTATAATTTAATCAACATGCTTTATGTACAGTCGTATGAATTATTCAAGAATAGAGAACACAAATAAACTTGATAACTTTTGTACCCAAATCATGCTGTTGTGTCTTCTGTATAGTAACATTTTAAAAAGTTTTAGAACCATTTGAGATTTCAATTTTGTGTGCTTTCTTTGGTTTCTCTGAATTTTAATAATTTAGGATAATCTATGACTCTGACCATTATAAGCTGATGTTTTTTAAAGAAAAATATTACATTAAAGGAGTATTACATTAACTTCTTTGCATTCACTTATAAGTTACACTTACAAAAATTCAATTTTTAATAATGTCCTGAAAGATTCATAACTGTCCCCAAATTTTAATATCATAGGTTTGTCATTTTTTGATTGAGAAAGTACATTAACTACATTACTAAAAGTTTCTCTGTTTTTATTTTAGGTACTGTATTAGAGATCTCCAAGCAAGATTTTTTTGAGGAAGCAAAAACTCTCATTGCCCAACATTATGAGAACATAAATGAGGTGAATGCATTTATCTAACATATTTTTCTGGAAACTAATATTTTTGTATATTGCAATGATCATTTCAAATGATTGCATGAATCCCAATAGATTTTGAAGAGAATGAAGAGAAAATGAAATACTTAGTAGTTATAATAACTGATTTCATATTGCATTTAAAAATTAATTTTTTAGCTATACAGATTATTTAATTATACAGATGTACTTAATTTGCACACTTAATTCTTAATGTTGTCTTGATGAATTATAACAAATATTTGGATTAAATATCTCACATAAATATCCCTCTTTAAACAGTATTAGGCAAAGTTAAACTAGAAAATATGCTGTGAGATGTCTCCTCTATGTCCCTGACATGACATGCTTATCTGATCTCCTTCCACATCACTTTGCATTAAAATGTTTACTAGTCTGATAGTTTCTTGATGGTATTGACTGCCTTTTTTGAATGTTGCATCTCCAGCAACAGGCATTGTGCCTGGCCCAAAAAATATCTGCTGAATGGCATAGATTTGGAAGGCCAGGGAAGAAAGGATGAAAAAGAAAAGTGATGGCAAAGAGATAATATAGGATGAATTTTGGAGGACAGTCTCTGCAGAGGAGATGCAAAATTTTGGGGAATAGCAGCTATTGTGATAAATGGGCATTTGGGGCGATAGGTGAGGGAAGGGGATCTTAGAATCATGTACTTTGTGATCACTGTCCTATTCCCTTTTGAGTACTTTTAAAATCAATATATTTTAAATAAAGATTTTAAATATTTTTCAATGCTTACTGTGGAGGAAGGTGATTATAATTTTTACATGTATCTTTTGAATGGTCCTCTGCTGAGACTGGCCATAGGTGGTTTTAATCTTGTAATCAACATTGTCAATATTGCTTAACTGTTTCCTTTAACAAAAAAAATACTTTAAAATTACATTGATTTAATTAGTAGGTGCATGGGATGAAAACTTCACAGGCTTCAGAGTTAGGTAAATGTGCCTTAGAACCCTGACCATGTTTAAGAGTTTAATAACAGCTTAATAGTCCATCTTTGCATGGAAAACATAATACCTTCTTATTGGCATGTTGACTTGGCAACAATTTGAATTTTTCTAAATCTTTTTATGGTCCAGAGTATGACTAGCTAGAAAAAGTATGATTGTTTGAACAATTGCTTGTCAGATACCTGAGACTGTATTATTTTTCTATTGCTTAAAATTAAGAAGTATGTAAGTGTTACAAAGCCACTGTTCTCAAAACTGCCTGGTACTGGCACAAGAACAGACATATAGATCAATGGAATAGAATAGAGAACCCAGAAATCGACCTCGACCAATATGCTCAATTAATATTTGACAAAGGAGGCAAGAACATACAATGGAGTCAAGAGTGTCTCTTCAATAAATGGTGTTGGGAAAATTGGACAGATACATGCAAAAAAAAATGAAACTAGACCACCAACTTACACCATACACAAAAATAAACTCAAAATGGATAAAGGACTTAAATGTACGATGGGAAACCATAAAAATACTAGAGGAATCCAAAGGCAACAAAATCTCAGATATATGCTGAAGCACTTTCTTTACCAATACAGCTCCTAGGGCATTGGAAACTAAAGAGAAAATAAACAAATGGGACTACATCAAAATAAAAAGCTTCTGCACAGCAAAAGAAACCATCAACAAAACAAGAAAGCCCACTGCATGGGAGAACATATTTGCCAATGTTATCACCGATAAGGGTTTAATCTCCAACATTTATAGGGAACTCATACAACTTAACAAAAGGAAGATAAACAATCCAATCAAAAAATGGGCAAAGGACCTAAATAGACACTTTTCAAAAGAGGACATTCAGAAAGCCAAGAGACATATGAAAACATGCTCAAAGTCACTAATCATCTGAGAGATGCAAATCAAAACAACAATGAGGTATCATCTCACACCTGTCAGAATGGCTATTATCCACAAATCAACAAACGACAAGTTCTGGTGAGGATGCAAAGAAAAGGAAACACTCGTGCACTGCTGGTGGGAATGCAGACTGGTGCAGCCACTATGGAAGACAGTATGGAGTTTCCTCAAAAAGTTAAAAATGGAACTCCCATTTGACCCTGTGATCCCACTTCTAGGACTATATCCCAAGAAACCAGAAACACCAATCAGAAAGGATATATGCATCCCTATGTTCATAGCAGCACAATTTACAATAGCTAAGAACTGGAAACAGCCTAAGTGCCCATCAGCAGATGAATAGATTAGAAAACTCTGGTACATCTACACAATGGAATACTATGTGCTGTAAAAAAGAAGGAATTCTTACCATTTGCAACAGCATGGTTGGAACTAGAGAGCATTATGCTAAGTGAAATAAGCCAGTCAATGAAAGAAAAATACCACATGATCTCACTCATTTATGGATAATAAAGACCATTATAAACTGATGAACAAAAATAGATACAGAGGCAGAGAAGCATTGAACAGACTGTCAAACTACAGCAGGAAGGCCGGGGAGGGTTGGGGGGAGGGTGTAAGAGATCAACCAAAGGACTTGTATGCATGCATATAAGCATAACCAATGGACACAAGACACTAGGGGGTAGGGGAGGCTGGGGGAATGTCAAAGGGGAAAAAAAGAGGAGACATATGTAATACTATTTGTAATACTTTAAGCAATAAAACAAAATTAAAAAAGAAGTATTTAAGTGATTGAAATTACTTGAAATACATATCCAATTATGAATATTATTTTCAGTTTTTTTATAGTTTAATGCATTTTTAAAAGCAAACTTGCAGAAACAGCACAGAAAACAGACAACTTTAAAAGCATATACTTGCATGTAGGACAACTCAGTTAGAAAAGCATAGTGAATGGATTTAAGGCATTTAAGTGATTAAAATTATCTGAAATACATATCCAATTATTAATATTCTTTTCTGAGAATCTACTTCTATGTATGAGCAATTATTTATGGTTCAACAGATAAAGTGCTTTGGGGGTATAAGCATTTTATGGACATTTGAGAATTTTTCAAAGATGATTGAAAATAAATTCTTGTCTAGTTGAAAACTTCTGTCTTAAAATAGACTTTAAGGTTATATTTAAAAATATCACATTTGAAAAGAAAATTACTATTTTAAATTTACATTTTTTGAAGTAGAATGCAACCCTCATGCCTGTGAAGTACCTTTTGAGAACTACATAGGATAACATCTGCTTCATTGGGGCACTGTCACATGCTTTATAGTAAATATCTTATATGGTAAGGCACTTTGCCAAATGTATTTAGTGTATATAAGTTTATTACTCTTAATAAAATTTATTATATACTTTTATTATAAAATTAATATGACAATTACATTTAAAATTAATTTTTGTTTTATTCACAGAACAAAGTTCAAGGTACTTCTATAAATGTTTTTAGAAATAAACAGCAAAAACCGAAACCTGGCAAATACATACCTGCAAAGATTAAAAACAAGGAAATATTTGATGTGGTCCAAGAACTCCAGATAGCTCACAAACGTCCTTATTTTCACAAAGATGTTTCCAAGGGGGAATGTTTTGAGGAGCCCCCTCAACGAACTTCTTTCAAGGAGCCACACATGTTTCATGGAAAAGAAAAAACCAAGGGATATGTAGATCTAATTGCAAAAGGTAAGTTTTTGGTGGAGCAAAGAAGTTCAATAAACTAACAGGCAGAAGTGTTTGCTTCTGGTGTGTTTTAAATGGACTTCCCTTGTTCAGACAAAACTCCAGATTTTAAATTTTAGCAATGAAAGATAGAGAGATAGAGTGGCATGATTAGAAGAGTTGCTAACCTCTGGGGGCCACCTGGAATTGAGAAGAGAGCATCCTAATGGGCAAGAGGAATTTAGATGAGCACTACTGGTAGTTACATCTTCCAACAGAGTGATATTCCTTCTAGTACAAGTCCTCAGAGACCAGTTAGTTCACGGTTAGTAGTGCAGTCAGAGGTGTATGGCTTTGGATTCTATTGTTGAGCAGGGTAGGTAAGGTAGGCAAGCTATTTGTGAGTGTGTTCCTCCAAAACCCTCTAAGGATTTTTGGGAGTTATAGGTTTTTTCTTTAAGACAAATTGTAGTAAAGATTTATTCTCTGTCAAGAACTTGGTAAGGTTGAACCTGAAGGTCCATTTAAACAAAGTGATACTGTTTTCTTGAGACTAATGGCTGGAATAAATGACTTCTTAAAAATACATTTTTAGTTATAACTATTTAAAATGTATCTACATTTTCTCTTTGTTATTGCTTCTTGTGCTGTTAATTCATTTTAAGTTTTGTCTTCATGCAACACCTTCTCTGTGCCAGGCACTATGTTGGGAGCTGGAGAAATAAAGATTAAAAGGCTCAGAGAGTAATGGGGGTGGGTACACACATAGGTAGTTTCTTATCATACAGTGTGGCAATGGCTGTAATAGAGGTGTGTGCAAAGCATTATGGAAACACTGAAGCATAACCAGCCAAGTGCTAGAATGAAAATTTCTCAGAAGGGACCTCATTAAGAATGGGTTTTCAGGAGAAGTTTGCTAGAGGTAGGATGGAAACAGGAGAGGCCATTTGGAGTAGTGGCAGTGAAACAATAACACCCCAAAGGATGAAAGAATGTGATGTTTGGGAAAGGAGAGCTGTGGAAAGAATTGAAGTTGGGAAGATGGGTGAGGGTAGATTTTGAAGGTAATATAATATGAGGTCCAGTACTTGAACTTAAGTGTAATGGAAAGCCAATGGTGATTTTAAAGTTGGAGTTGGAGACGGGATGAGGCATGAGAAAATCTGTCTGAGAGAAAAATAAAACTGGTAGCAGGGGCTCCGGAGAGAATGGTGTCAGAGAGTCCAGCAGGAGGAGTTTCAGGAAAGAGATGGTCTGTGTAAGAGATGGCAGGGGTCTAAATTAGGGCAGTGATGAGGCATGAAGTATGGAGGAGTGATGTTACAGTAGCATTTCTCACAGAGTAGTCTTCAGAACACTAGTCCTGAGTGACTCACCTTGACAAAAGGGTTATTTGATTAGATATGTTTGAAAAAAATTCATTCAGTTCTTCAAGTTTCATATTGAGCATTAATATATTGAAAGATCTGAGAAATACTGCAGAAAAAAATCTGTCTGCTGTTTTTAATGTGGCTATCCTCAATTAACCTAATTAAAGAATTCCTAAAGAACGACATTGCAGTCTCTAGCCTGGTAAACTAAACAGACAGCATTAAGTTGAGATAGGAATTCAGAGGGCGAAGCAGATTTTGGTCCAGTGGAGAAAAGGGTGGGGAAAATAATGAACCTGTTAGCTTTGGACCTATTAGGTAGACATCTATGTGGAGATAATGATTAGAAAGTTGGAAATAGATATCTGGCACTTAAGAGAGAAGTAGGTGAAGACTGAAGAGGAGTACCCAGCAAAGGAGGTGGGAAATGAACAGCTGGGAGGGAAATCAGAAGAGTATGAAATATGTTACTCATACTTTGGTCAAAGAGGAGGAACACCTTAGGGGCAAGGAGAGCTCATCCATTATCCCAGGAGGAAGTCAGGGCTATGAGCACAGACACAGGCTGAATGATAGATTAGGGGGTGAGATTGCTTCTGTTGTTTTGGTGAAATTAAAAATGAGGTTTTCACCTGAGGATGGGATGGGAAGTGCTGGAGTTTTGAGGAGCAAAGAGGAAGTTCAAATAGCCATAATCTGGGCAAGTATGAAAGTGCATGGACTCTGAAAAGATAGTTTGCTATGAAAAATAAATGCACCCCTCACCCTTTTTCAAGAGAAAAGAGAAATGATGGGGAAGTGTCAACAAGGATCAAGGAAGAAAGTGACTTTCTCTTTATCCCTAAAGTATGGGAAGGGTGGGAAATAAAGTCACTTCTCGGGAGAGTGCTGAAGAAGCTGTATCCTTAGGAAAATAAGGGCTGTTAGAACAAGAAGATAGGGGAACATATGAGAACATAGCTCGAATATCAACTTAGCTGACAAAAGATTTGGGGTTTCCTGGGGCATAGTGAAGAGTTTGGGGAGGTGATTTAAGAAAGGATGAAAGGTTGAGGGTCTATGGAGACTAAGACAAATAGCAAAGAGAATGAGAAGAGTAGTTCTGAGGGCCTCTTAGAGAAGGTGGGTAATCTTTGCCAATGAGGGTCGCTTTTGGGGATTGTTCTCTTCAGCAGGTTATCTTGAAGCCAAGGATATTGGGGATGGGCATGTAAGAAAGGAAT